ATAAGTAAATGCCTTCTATCCAAGGACGCATGCCTTCACTATAGATATCACTCTTTGAAAAGGAAGGATATTGTGACCTTCTCAACTGGACATGCTGTAAAATCTAATAATGGCCTTCCAGTATGAAAGATGTTATATAAAGCGTGCATCAAGAAAAATATGATTACTTAACGTATATATGTGTCGCTTTAATGTCACCATGACGATTTCTGGCCATGAGTTCAATGTATGTTTCAATAGTAATGAATAGATCCTGACAACTATAGTTCTATGCTTGGTTCTTGCAGTGTTGGCATGGGTGACCCTAGTAATGTGTTGTATGCCTGATCTGTGAGAATATCAGTCATGTGCTTTATCTCAACACCCTGTCTGCTGTGTTTGAAAACGTATAGCGGTCTATTATCTTCACACAATCACCGTAAAGTCCCTTTTTCATTCCACAGATAAGGACTAGAAAAGTGCCTGTAGGAATTCTACCAAGCACTCCATCAACTGAATCAATGAGAACATCTTTCAAAGACCAAAGAATAGTTGGCAAGGCGTGATCGGTATGGAATGTATTTGCTGGCTTAAGCTTGAACGTGTTAAGGTGTCCTCCCTGGCTAATTTGGCATTTTAAGTTTCCATCATTTTCTCACAAAGAAATTGAGAAAGAACTGTAGTTGTACTGAATATTGATACCTGGGTACAAAAGGGTTATGAATATGATTTTATGCACCATATGGATGACGTCATCATATTTTATTGCCCCAAATGTAATTATCTTTAAAGTTATAATATAGCACTTTGGTGCAAGTAACTGAAATAAAAGTATGATTTTCATGTGCATAATGGTCAAAGCTACAAACGTACGTTTGCACAAATTGATATCTACTAATTATCCGTAGTTATTAGAGAAAAACCTAATTGCCTAATTAAAATCTAGTTATTCTCTAATAACTACGGGTAATTAGTAGATATCAATTTGTGCAAACGTACGTTTGTAGCTTTGACCATTATACACATGAAAATCATACTTTTATTTCAGTGAAAAATGTGCACTAGAGTAAAAAAAAGAGCCTTTACGTAACCATGCTTTAAGGTAGGCTTCAAGATAGTGTCAAACCCAAAGCATAGCTTATTGTCCTGAATACCCGGTTGTATCTATTATGTATTTTATGTATCTCACAGGGAAAGGCTTAAGCATGCTGCACGGACCAGATAATACCACGACTGCTGCCCACTGTGCAACACCTCCTGACCCGGTCAATACAGAAGCCTCTGTGTACACCGCAGACGAATTCCCAACGAATTCCGTCTTCACAGGTATTTCTTAAACAGAAGCTTAAAGACATCCAATGCGATTTCAGGGCCGCAAAATTGGAAATATTCTGAATCAGACAATCTTTGTGATATTCATACATACTGCTTCACATTAGCACATTTTTGCCTCACAGATATCAGCATGCTATGGGATAGGGTTGATTCAACTGAAAACATAAGATTTAAAAGGATGACCAGAAAATCCAGTTTTGATGCCCTGAAATTGCATTGGATGCCTTTAATTCACAGTACATGTTGGAGGTGGAGAGAAGTATCTTGATGCTGAATTTGCCAAATTGATTTACGTATTTTTTTGGATCAACTATCAACAATTACGGTATTAAAATAATATACGTAAAACATGTTACTCACTATTTCATCGATTGTATAACATTGCAGACTTGATGACGACTGACGTCATTTCCGGTTCCGCCGGGAATGCTGGGAGCCTGTCCGTTATCCAATGGACGTTCATCGTGCAGATGGGCGTCATCAGTGTGGTGGGAACTCTGGGAAACATCCTGGTCATCCTGTCCTTCTGCCGCTTCCAACAGGTGAGGAATCTGCCTGTACTGTCTACAAGCTGTCAGCTGAAAAATTGAAGTTGGTATACCGGTAATAGAACGTTTATAGAGAGTTTTTTTAAATACATGCCCGAGGCCTATAGTAATTGCAGGTACGACAATGTACCTTCTTTAACTACTGACTTGCCAAATTTCAGACAACTTCATCAAAAGGATCTTGATTTATACTTGCGCAAGGCGAAGGCACAGACCCAGCAGCGCAGACAAAACAATTGCAAGTTGTTCAAAAGTTATGTAAATGAGATCCGTATTTGTATTAATACGGATCATATCAACATGTATTAGATAATGTCCAACAACGAGAGTGAAATTACCTTCAGATCAACCAAGGAGGTTAAAATTTGATTTTAAACCTCCTTGGATCAATTGATCACTGATCACAATACTCACTGACTTACCTCTTTCGCTTCACGGAGTAACAAGGTTTTTGCCCCCCCCCCCCCTCTCCCTCTAGGTGCGCTCGTCCATGAACCTGTTCGTCCTGAACATCGCCGTGAGCGACCTCCTCATCACCGCCGTGCAGGCGCCGACCCGTCTGGCAGCGGTGGTGACCGGGCACCCGCCGGGCGGCGGCGGCTTCTGCGCCTTCCTCGGCTTCATCGGCTTCCTCAACTGCTGCATCTCCGTCCTCTCCTCGGCCCTCATCGCCTTCAACCGCTACATCCGCATCTCCAAGTCGGCCAACACGTACATAAAACTGTTCGGCCCGCTCAAGTCGTGTTTGTGGATAGCAGGGTCTTGGGGGGTCTGTGCTTTGATCATCATCCTCCCCGGTATGCTTGGCGTGGGTCGGTTCGGGTGGGACGAGGTCAGAAGCCAGTGTGACCTCGACTCTAACCACCCCTACAGTAGATACTACTTCTCGCTTGTCTTCGGGGGTGGGTACTGGATCTCGGTGTCCATAGTGGTCGTGTTTTACGTCAAGACCTATCTCTTCGTGAAGAACTCCGTGGTGACCATAGCTCGAAGTCGCACCCTGGGGAACAAGCGAGAGTACGTGTCTACAGAGATGGTGCGCAGGACGAGGCACATGTTCATCATCTTCTGTACGTCCACGGTCCTCCAGGCCCCAGCCGTATTGCTGGAGAGTATTGACTTCACGGCGTCCTTCATACCGTTTGAGGTGATTTTTGTGGGGATCTTTCTGTTCGGGTCGTGCCACGCCATCAATCCCTTCATGTACCCCTGGAAGGTCAGGGTCTTCCGGCGGGCATTTAAAGCATTGTTGCAGTGTAAGCGGGACCTGCCCTTTGTACCTGGGCAGTCCTCATCACACGCAACCTAAAACTGAAAATACAAAGCACATGTACATAGTATATACAGCATTTACCTAAACACATTTTATCATATCTTGAAAGTTTTATCATATCTGTATTCAAATTGATACATGAAGAAGTTATATTTATTTTAGTAGAACGCCGGTGAAGGTTAGACATCCAGGTAACAGGATACGCCGCCTTTGTTGGATGTGCACCTGAAACGTCATATCCAGTTGCTTGAGTAACTGTTTTTTGGTGTGTATTTATATTAGAACTCTGTGTATTCCAACACAAGAAATTGCAGTGTACAATTTTGAAGTGTACAACTCCAGTCTTTGTCAAGGAATGAGCAATTTTCCGCTTCTGTGACGTCACGTTATGCAGACATAACACACGTGACTGGGCGAGCGGTGGATCATGGGATGTAGGAAGTCTGTGGCGACTCCCGTCTTTGTTGAGGGATGGCTGCAATGCCTTAATGTAGATCGTCTCTAGTACCTCTTGCATGATACATTTTAGTATCTACTACGTATACATGTACATATATCTACCTCGAGGGGTTCGTTGTTTTTCCTGTTTTCCGGGTCATTTCCTGCAATTTACCTCATTCTTCAATCAATCAATCAATCAATCAATCAATCAATCAATCAATCAATCAATCAATCAAGTGGTTTATTGATAAAACGAGGAATTTGCAGCCACAGGCTGAATTACATCCTGTTGTACAATTAATTCATTTTAAAATTCATTAGTATACAGTAAAAATCATCATAGTTATTTACAATTATTAGCATTAAAACTTGGTTACACATTAAGATCTAAAACACTGATTGATTTATAAAATTGCTGCAGGAGGGACAACATTACTTTGACGTTCACTTAACAGACATTACATACAGATAACAATTCATGTACTTATAGATGATTATTTAAAAGGGATATCATATATGGGATACTACTGTTCTTATAGCGTTCGGTTCTAGCCTTGGGACAGTCAAGTAGATTGCTGGAGCGTGTGGTTCGTCCAGTAGTGTTCCCACGTGTGGGTGGTAGCCAACTGCGGAATTCTGATAACAGGGCTCGAAATATTCTCGTAGGTTTATGTTATAAAGATGTTAAATGTATATAGTATGCAGCATATTTTTAACATCTAAGTGTCTGAAAAATAATGAATCATTGCAGTTGTAGTACTTTTCTTTAGAAATGAAACATAATTAGTTATTGCCGACATTCAAGCTATTCTAGTTTGTGCACGCAAACATTTTTGTGCACCCAATTTTAGGTTAGGCGCACCCATGCACCCATTCCCCAAAATGAATTTCGAGCCATGGATGATGATATAAGAACAGATTTTAGGGTTGTACAAAAAGCACTACTAGAAAAATCTACTAGTACATGTACTATCACACTGTACAACAAATAAAACGCTGACACGACAATGAATTGTGGCATGTGTTTCTTTTTATATGCTCAAAACCACTAGTAACATTCAAGAACCGTATACACACAACTTTTGACTTGCACTCAAACACAGTACTGGTAACTGTCATAGCTCTTTGGAAATACTGACAAATATCTGAAGACTGTTTCAGATTCAAACTTCACTTAAGATTCAATGAGAAGAGGAAACCATTTTCGAGAATTAAACAACTACCTCTTGTCACTATACAGTTGTCAATAAAAAAGGTACTTTTTTAACAGAGCTTTTCCATATTTTGCATGTTTGTTTTTTTGGTCGTCCTACATGTACATGTATCACTAGTACAAAGGGTATTCACTTGCTCCAAAGAATTTTCTTTTAGCTTCTTCAAAATAATGTTCAATAGCTTGATACTCTGAACACACTTTCAACACAAGTTGACACAGTATAACATGTAAAACTATACACGTTTGTTAAGAGGCACAAATGTTTCCACAAGATTGTTCCATACAAATACCTGCTCTGAATAATTGGAAGCATTTGAGATAACAAAAAGAAAAGCTCCATAAATGTGTACAGTTAGCCAGGAGTGTCTGTGCTCCTTTAGCAGATAGACCAACTCCCCTGGCATGTTACCGGTATCTGTCTATTTGGCAAATTTCTAAATTTTCCAGCTTCTGAAGCCTAGTAGAGGATACAATAATTTCTTAGGCCACACCAATTTAATTTGTTGGTTCTTGGATTGCCCACTTAATTTTTTTTCTGATTTTCAAAAAAATAATTTCTTCAGCCTCTAATATTTTGACCCCAACAGTTGAAGGAAGTCCCTCCTCTTCAGACTTGTTATGGTTTTTCCATCTATCAATGCAGTGGTTTGATCCTATATATAAGTTTGAAATTCATTGTTCGAATTACAAATTAGCCTGTTATGTTGACTCCATGGCTACTATCATAGCATTTGGGGCTATCATAGGGTGCCTTGGTCTGTTTTTATTTTTTTCTACATTTTTTTCCGAGAAAATCTGAGAACCAACAAATCAAATTGGTATGGCCTTATTAGAGAGTGAAAAATTTCTTAGGAGCTCATCAAGTCTTCAGCCGCCATACCTATTGACAAAGGGAAGTTCTGCCTAAATAGACTGTCACTGCACTGCACAAACCCTACCTACTAGTACTAGTTACAGTATTCGAAAAAGCCTCAGCTGTTATTAGCTGATCATCAAAAAATTTATCTATAAAACATTCTCTAATATTCACAACACCACGTCAAAGTATGATTTGTTACTGTCATGCAAATATATACAGATACACCAAAATATATACATATGTATATATACACACACATAGAATTGCAACCAGCAAAATTTTCAATGACAATACTATCTATTTGGTCCTTGTTTCAATTTTCATTTGACAAATGTGGAAAACTTCAATTTTCCACAATAAATTGACACAATAATCTACGATATGTCTTATTTTAAGATTTCTGTCTTTACACTAAAGACCTCTGTCTACATAACAAGTCATGGGTGCTATTTTGTGCAAAACAAATCACTGGAAACTGAAAGATGCTGACAAAGCGATACAAGATTTTTAATCAAGCACAGCAGATGTCCAGTACTAAATGGCCAATAGCATGAGCATGTTTTCATGCATAGCAACTCCTTGCTTGGCAGGGGGCAATGTATAACATATTTGGACAATTCACAAGAAAACAGTAACTCAAACAACTGGATAGATTTTGAAAATTGTCAGACGTACAGTATTTACTCTACCTTGGACAATTGACTGGACAAACATGATTTGGCTCTGTATCTGAAACACACCATTGTTGTACTGGTAAGTGCCAGGGGTAGGGTCAACACTTGATAAGACACACAACATCAAAAATATGACTTAGATGCATAGAAAAAGAGAATGTGTCAAGCCTGACAGTTTCACCACTGCTTATTAGTCAACATTAAGCCCCGATTTAGTGGGCAAAAAGATGAGGATACAACTGTGTATGCATGCAGGTGTACAAAAACTGTGCACATCGAGTATTTCCTTCGAGTAAATTGGCCTGCTTTGACGTATGTCAAGAACGTATGCTGAGATGGTATGTAACATGTACCTCGAAGGCTGGCATGCGATCTGAGCGTATGTTCTTGAGGTGCGTCAAAGAACGACAAGTTTTTGTACGGTCTGCACGATGTGTGTGCAGTTTTTGTACTGTCAGGTCTTTGCCCAAATGTAAATCGGGTCTAATACTAAGTCCTTGTTCAACTTTGGCCTTCCATGTTGACACGTGAGCTCTACAGACCCTTACGACGGGGGTATTAGTAAATACACATCCAGGTATTCTTCCTACCTTGCTTACGTTTCGACGTCTATCAGACACCTTCCTCAGATACATACATTTGTATATAGTGAGAAGCAGTACTCCAGTCATAAGCTTTGAGGAAGGTGTCTGATAGACATCGAAACATAAGCAGGATAGGAAGGACCCCTAGTCGTGTATAAGAAAATCCCAATATCATTTGGCCTTCCTTGTTGAGTAAATTCCCTTATGACGGAGGTTTGCTCTTGCTGGGCAGGCGGTTGGGTAATCTCTGTGACATCATGGCAGCGCGTGCGGTGGCGGGGCGGGGGACGGCGGGGAGCTGGCGCCGGGGCGGGGTGTGGGTGGACCGGATGACCGGCTGGGTGGGGTTGACTTCAGTCGGCGGGGTCCGGGCAGGTCTAGCAGCTGGTCTGTACAGGGAGGGAACAAGAAATACTTTAATAAAATGCTGGCCAATATGGAAATAGCTGGTTGGGTGGCGTAAGTGTGATGACGATGTGTGACTGAAATAATTGGTCACCTTGGTGACTTGAATTGGACTAATTACTGGACTGTAATGCATCATGTGCTCTTTCTAGTGGAAAAGAGATATTTTGAAATAGTTTACTAGAGGTTATGTGTAATTATTATTATCTATTAGCGGTTACGTGCGATAAAGAATTGTGTCATTTCTTGTTTCAATCGGCCAGTCTTACCCTCCTGACATCTGCTTGGTTTTCAGTCAATATACATGTATGATAATGTATCCGACACCCAAAACCCAACCATGGAAAACAAGTTCATTACTCAATACTCAGCATAAATTAAGGTGGAGATCTCAACTTCATTGCTATATCTGAAAGTAGATGTACATAAAAATATTTGAAGTAACAAGCAAGTCAACTCTGTACTGCTACTGCAAAAGGTTAGTTTTAGAAAAGAAAGCTTAGACCAAAAATTCCCTCTCTAGTAGCTTTAAGCATTATCTAGAAATCAGTAACAGCCCTGTCATATTTTTCTCATTGTATCATTGAACAGAATACATTTCTTTCAGACTAAGTCTTGGAGAACTCTTTTGGGCGACACCCACTTTTCTGTTTTTGCCGGGTTTTCGCTAAGCCTGGCGTCTTCCCGCTCGTAGATGAGCTGACGCTGCTCCCGACTCTTGCGGTTGCGGCGAGGAGACGGTCTCCTGGCGCCCTGTCCGTCCACACTGTCGTCAGAACTACGGACGACAAACAAATACTGAACTAAGCCTGAGTGTGTACACCATTTTGTGTGTGTGAAAACAGAGGACAGCACTGTTAAACGTTGTAGTCTTGTGGAATTTCTATTAGCTGGAAATGGACAGCTTATTCCCCAGACCAAGATTTCTGTATCCAAAACTTTGGAAGGAGGGTGGATGGAGAACATATGACGGTGGAACAGTCTTGTTATCTCGGGTTTATGACTTGAATACTGCAATTCTGTATGAATGCAAAGCAAAACCTGTATGCAAAAACTTTACAAACCTGCAGTATAAATGCGGCTTATATCACAGAAATTCCTTTAGATGTGTCTGGCTACATGTTAAACTTTATCTTACACATTTCCTCACCTGTATGTTCTAGTCCGTCCAGCCGGCCCAGGCTGGGCACTTCCCGTGTCCTCCTCGGGTGAAGACACAATATTTTTCGCTCTCGTTCCCTGCTCTCTCCCCGGCGCTCTTCCATCTCTGACCTGTGACCTTTCCTCGGGTAACGGCGGCCTCGTGTCTTCATTTGGCGCTGACGATCTCAATCTTTCCACGTCGGTTTCCTCCTTTGTACGCGGCCGGTATCGCCGCACTCGGAAGTCAGCGGCAGTGCGTGGTCTGACTACGCCGTCGCTCGACAGTTTGGAGGGAAGCCTTTGTGAGGGAGGGGGACCTTGGGGTGATCTAGGGGGTGGGGAGGGATGGTGTGTGGGAGATAAGGGGGGTGGGGAGGGTCGATGCGTGGGTGAGGAGGGGGGTGGGGAGGGGCGGTAGACAGGAGAAGAGGAGGGAGGGGAGGGCACGTGGACCGGGGACTGCGAGCGGAGGTACAACTGCGAGTCTTCGTCAACGGGAAGTTCGACGTCGTCGTCCGAGACAGAAGCGTCGGAGCCGTCCTCGACGTCCGCGGCTTCGTCGTGGGAAATCTTCAACACCTGTGGTTCCCGCATCTCAACATACCTCTGCTTGATTTTCCTGTAACGTAAGAATTGGAAATGTGAGCTAGCCTGCTTTAACAAAAGACATTTTGTCTAAAATTATAGTATGTAGTGCCAAGCCCATCGTCTACTCAGACGGAAGGAGGCCGATGATGAATATGATGACAATGTATTATACAGCATCCAGTGGAAATCCAACAATTACAGTAACTGTTGGAAAAAAAGACCTATGACTGCAGGAAGAAAATTCTCAGCAGTTGGTTGGAAGATAATTTTGGCAGAGGCACAATGTTCAACACTTAATTGAAACTGTAAAAGTAAAATTTCAGGTGTAGCTTAAAAGGTAAAGGTGGTCCCATAGCCATATGGGCAGTGGGTTGTTAATCCTCTGTATTGGAAAGCGGAGACCAACCCTCTCCTTCCAAGTCAGGTAGTTCTACGGGTACCATTTCTGGGTTTACTGAGAAGCCTGTTTGTTTTGTTAGTTTCGTGTAACCAGTGAACTGCCTTTTGGCGTAAGACACCAGTTTTGTACTGTAAGTACAAGCCACATTTGATAAGGCGTAAAGGGCCTTTCCCAAATTAAGCCACAACACCCAGGGACCTGTCAGGGATTCGAACCCAGAAGCTCCAGATTCTGAGTTAAGATCCCCAACCACATGACAACCTTGCCACCTTACCCTTCATACTCCTGCCTCCATGCCTTCAGCTCGGCGAACAGATCTTCCTTGGACACGTCAGCGTCAAAGGCCTCATCATAGGTGTGCTCAGGTCTGTGGAGCAGGTGACTGAAGGGGGAGGCCTGGATCTGTTCCACTGTGGGGAGGGCTGACAGGCCTGTGGGGAGCTAGGGGAGGACAACGGATGGTAAAGTATTAGAAATAGTATACAACTTTGATGTAATATCAAAACAAGGAGTTAGTTAAGAACTTGTGCAAATATATATGCCAGGTTATATAGAGAGACTCGGATCTGGTAGAATCGACAATTCTAATGGTAGATATCCCGATCGAGGCATTCTAAGAAATTCAATCTGATATTTGCTTAAAAGACTTTGATTTATGTCACTTTTAATCAATGGATAATGACTTGAAATTTAGTACTTAAAAATGGGAGACCCTCAGCATCCTGATTGGAGTCTCTGTCGACAAGTATTCCTAATTTAGAGTTTTTACCCATACTATTTGTTATAAAATACTAAACATACAGTAATTTACATACAACTAATAGTATGGTGCAATGCAAGGGACATACATGTGTATGTACAGTGAGGTTGTTGCACAGCAGCCTGTTGCTGTAAACTATACCTGGGTTCTAAGATTGGCAAAGCCAATGGGGAAGCTGTTGTAAGCAGTGTGGTAATATCATTGGGTACAGATGGGGTCTTTTCTCATCACACAATACTATATACATGTACATGCACTCATGTTGGGCAATGTACATGCAACTTAAACCATGCTGGAAAACTGCTGGCAAATCCAACTGGAGAAAAAGAAAATTGCTGTGGACTAAATGTTTCCTATCGTGCAAAATTGCTAATCTGGGTGGGTGAAAACTGTGATGCATGTGCAGCATGCAAAGCGTGCCAGCACTCCTTCAACACTGTCACCACCTGTGAATTGCTGCAAACTATATCATCGTTAGCACACTGCAGAAGCGGTGGGTCTGTAAGCCACACACGGCGCAGCAGGAAAAATGGCACTTCAGGTATAGTCGCTAGTAAGCCTTTACTCTCATTCTCAAGGCAAAGCTGCAAGGAAAGCAAAAAAAAAATGGCGAAAAAGGGCCCAGTCACATGCGTCGTAGGCCGTCCTACGATTTTGATGTTGTTGAATTTTCAAGCAGGACCAACCGTCAACAAGAATCTGAGACAGACATTTTCAGTAACTACGTGTATTCTAACAATTTCAGTTTGCAATAGAGACACAATTCACAATGATGACATTAGAGGCTCAACCAATGAGAGGATGGCAGTTAGCGGTTCAACCAATGAGAGAGTGGCTGTATGTCTGTCAAATATTTGCATTTCTAATTGTTTTTACTTTGCATTTCTACACTTTGAACAAAAAAGGGTGTATCGACACGCTCCTGACAGATTTTTTGACCGTGTAAACAATCCTGGACGTGCCACACGAAAACCGTCGTGTGTTGTTGGTGAACCTGTTTACACAATCAGAAATCTGTCCTACAACACATGCTGCACGTCGATCATTGTAGGATGCTTTTCTTTGCCCCGTGTACACTGGCTCTTTGAAGGAGGTACATGTAGGCGGATCTACATTGTATTGTACAGGGATCATACAACGAATGTGACCAGGTCTTAAAGCGTTGTTATCATTACTGTTGCTCACACATTCAGGGCTTCCGTCTCTCTCTGGGCTCTCCTTGCAAGAATAGAACAGGGAGACAAGACAGAAGTTTGACAATGACAGTCCTCTTCAACAAACGTTTACCAGAAAACATATGAAACATTTCAGGTCCAAAGGTTTACTCCTCATTTTAAAGAAGACTACAGATTTATTATAATAATTATCAGCTAAGAATAAGCTTTCTCTTCCACATACAAAGTCATACTAGTGTTAGACGTCTTACCTTTCCTTTCCTGGACTTGAGTCCTCTGCTGGGAAGGCCACATATTACTTCTCCTGTAAGAACAACAAACAGTTTGCATTCACAAATGTCAGCTTCATTGCCCAGTCAGGGCTCAAAATACTTAATACCTTAGTGCACCCAAAATTGGAGCTGTACACCCAATTTTTTTTTCTGTGGGTGCACTGGTGCACCTAAATATTTTTTCTTGTATTATTGTACATATCACATGTACATGTATATTAATAATAGTATGCAGGATATTCTTGGCATCTAAGTGTCAGAAAAATAATAATTAGTCTTTGTTGTTTCCGTAGTACTTGTTTAAGATTTTTAAAGTTCCATTCCAGATTCAAGCTCATACTAGGAGCAGTAAGATTTGTAATTAGGTTTTGTTTTATAGGGTGCACCCATAAAATTTTTGTGCACCTAATTTTTTAGGTTGGGTGCACCAGTGCACCTAATCCCAAAAATGAATATTGCAGCCAGTAGACTAAGAGCTAAGTGTAAATCTGCATTATGTAACCTTTTTTGGGCCAAAAATTTAACATACACTTCAATTGGAAAATCTATATGTGATTGTCATTTAGTAAACAAACATGGGTTAACAACGGTGTGCATTTTCTGCTAACAGTTTTTCACGTATACAATACTCGCTCAGACAGACTACAATGTACTTAGTATTACTTCTTCTTCTTCTCCGTTACTGCCCAGCCCTACAGCGTAGGATTATTGGCAGCCGGATTATTACTAGTACATAAAGTATGTTTCAGGAATGGAAAACTAACACACATGTACACGTGCAAGACAAACTTTTTGAATAACCAGTTGCTACTGAATGGCCATCCCTTTTTTGTACACAGCTGTATGTTGGACAAGGCAGATGTTTTGGTGATACATTGTAAGTTCTTACCTCTGGTCAGATCACTGAGCTCTTCATCTAGAGCAAACTCCTCTGATCCTGAAGAAAATAATATAAAAACATTTAAAGTTTTGGCATGACATTGACAGGCTGCTTCTTCATTCATGCTTCATATAACAAAATAATGGACTTATTTCTATCTGGCATGCTTAATAGTCACAACTTCCATAAACTATACGCCAAAAAGCAGATACTCAAGCAACTGGATATGATTTTGAAAACGTCAGACGTTTCAGCTAGTATCCACTAGCTTTCGTCAGTGACTGAGAGACCAGAGGGGAAATGCAGGTTTATAAGCACAACCTATTGATTGATATGCAAATAAAGTGAAGACAAATTTTTGGGAGTCAAAAAAGGAACAAAAGTCAGACAAGTCAAGACAAAATGATGCTAATTAGTCTGAAAGCTCCTGTTATACAGAACAGGAGCTTAAGTGTTGTCTGTCCTCGGGGCTGGGAGTGCCAAATCCTGTCTGACGTTTTCAAAATCATATCCAGTTGCTTGAGTAACTGCTTTTTGGCGCATCGTATTACCTGGATGTCTAACCTTCATCGACGTTCCATAAACTATATGTATCAATACAGCCTGTGTAACGCAAAACCTGGATTTTTCAAAGTTTTTGTTGGATGCTAGTTTAACACTGCATCTGAATTTTGTGCCCTTGGAAAAGGTACTTTACACGACTTTCCTCACTTCCCTCAGGTGTAAATGAGTACCTAGCTTTGGTTAGGGACGTCCCTTGGATAGGACGTTAAATGGAGGTCCCGTGTTTGGGGGTGAGCCACACCCCACTCATATTACAGAGCCCACCACACCTTTCAAAAAAGAAAAGGGGCATGCCCTGGTGTGCGAAGGTCCAAATACTACTGTCTGCTGATTCACTACGGACTCCTGGAAGTATAGTGTGAAAATTCACACTTATGGAAATCCTAAACAAACAAACAAATAAACAAACAAACCTGCAGTTTCCGGCCTCTGTGCGCCGGCTGCAGCTGTACCAGGTCTGCCTGCTGTACCGGGCCGGGCGGCTGTGGCCGGTCGCGCCGCCGTCCCTAACCTGGCTATGGCGGAGTCTGGTCTCCGTCTGGCTGACCCCGGTCTCGCTGACCCCGGCCTCCAGGCAGAACCTGGTCTACTGGACCCCGACAACGGTCTGCCTTCTGGGAGTAAAACAAGGTTTAAGAAAAAAAGCTTTAAATTCATACCTCTGCGTAGTATCTAGAGCTGTTGTGAATTTCCAAAATTACTAGCAACTTTTTTATTGCATTTGAATTACACATTATGTAGTACAATTACTAATGAAAAGAACTAGAAAACAATAACACATAGTACAAAATTTAACATACACGTAGACATTGTGAATTTCTTGTTTCATTTACTATGATTGTGAATTTCTTGTTTCATTTACTATGATTGTGAATTTCTTGTTGATTCTGATGATAGCTTCAAGCTTAGTCTTTTTCTCCCTAGATTTTTAGGCAGAAAACTCCCATCCCCCCATGCTCTTATGCTGAGTGTAGGGTGGTGCCCATCTCCATTTCTGTAGCCCTTGGGCGACACACAGTTGTGCAACGCACTACAGCAGGGGGCTAGTCTGCTGGTAGTGCTGTGTGTTTGACCTCCCACACTCTTTCTCATGTGCTAAGCAGTGCAAGTACCTGATGCTTTTGATTTCAGTCAATTTTACAAGTTTGATTTTAATGCGAAGGATATACAATACATGTACATCAAACATGTACCTTAACAAAGCAAAAAAATTAAGTCTTGTCAATCAAAACACAACTGTGTAAAACCCCTGATCCCTCACTGTTGTTTACATTGAGCACACCTCGCTTACCTCCATCATCGATGTCCTCGTTTGACCCCAAACTCTCCTTGATGGACTCGTTAACGACCAGTCGTTCTGCGCTCAGACTGGTGGGTTTGGACAGACCTGTGCCGCGGCTGGACAGCGGCTCGTCATCCAGATACAGGAGGGTGGGGACGGACTGTTTGATGGTCCCTCGGTAGTCATACATGTCGTTGTTCTAGAAAAAACATACTTATGATTATCTTTACGACTTGTACACTGTGCCTGTCTAGGAGAAACTATTGCACTACTGCAGCAGATACTATATCTGCACCTCTATAGCCAGCATTACTGCCCTTCAGCGTAACACACCAGCTTTGCAGGCACACAGCACTGCGACAGCTAGCTATATTACTGTAACATCGAATGACCTGTGTTACACCCATCTTTGCATATTTAACTGCAGGAGTTTAATGCTGTCAAGTGATGATACACCAGCTGTGCTTGGTGGCAACGAGTTTCACTCCAGAATAGTTCTTGGAAAATACTTGGTTTTGTATACCCCAATTCTTGCAAAATAACTCTTAATTGAAGGCACGAGTCTACTATTTGTTGTTCCTTTCTGGGTTGGATGATAACATATTGAGTACTATGCTAAGCAGGGTTCTCACCAGGATTTTTTCACAGCGTAGGGGTCAGGTATAGAAGGGCAACTTTCTGCGGCGCGAGTCACGCACCGAGTCCCCAAAACATGGGCCTGATATTCTCCCCCCAAAATTTTGTAACTCAATATTAACCACTTAAGACACTATTTATTGTTTATTGGGGGACAGATTTTGTTTTCCCTCTGTTATAGCTTCATTCTTAAGTTATATTTTCATTTTTTTAAAGATTAATGAAGCTTTGGCCCCCAAAAACCACCCCTACGCTGGTTGAAATGCAGTGTAGGGGGCTAAATCACAGCGTAGGGGGTCAAAATCACAGCGTAGGGGGCCCCTACGCTCAAACAGCCTAGTGAGAACTATGCTAAGATACATAACAAGTTTTGCGCAGGCGCAGTGCGTTTTGCCAACATGCTGATAAAAGACAGTTTTCAGTCTGACAATAAGGTCCTTACCTCAGCATCAGGGTTAGGAGCCAGACACACAGGGTTCCCCTCCAGTGTCATGGTGGTCAGTTTAGGACACAGGGCTAAAAACTCCACCTGGGCCACATCATCTATGTTATTTCTGCAGAGAGGGGAGCAAAACAAAGACAGTTAGTGTATAATGCTCTGTAGTACGTTATATCATGTATGCACAAGCTTTATTCATTCATTTGACTAAACACTAAATTACAGATTTGGCCTAAGAAAAAAATGTTGTGTTTCCTGTTTCCCGACCAACCCTACAAAAAACTGTTGACCCCAGCCTTTTTTTTGTGTGTGGACCCCTGCAAGGGACATAAATGGACATTAATTTTTTGAGCTGATCGACCTTTTCAACCTCCGTGATCTGCTTGGAAACTCCAAAATAGTAACTCAAAAGAACTCACTGGCTGGGTAAATACATGTGGCAATGCCAATTCATTGCGAAATATGTCCTAACAACATGCTTAAAGTATATGTAGGCCTTTGTAAAAAATTTATAAATGGGATAATATTGACATTGCAAAAAAATTTTGTGGACATCAAATTCTTTTCCTGATAGCACAAACCCTTTTATAAAACACACATGCCAATTCTCCCAAAGGCTGAAAGTTCCTTACCCTTCCAGATCTAGAACCTGCAGTTCCTCCAGCAGACTACAGGGGGACACATCACTGATGTCATTGTAGGCCAGGTACAGCTCCTGGGTGGGGAATTCAAAGAAAGAAGTGTTTGAACTGAATAATGCCCGCATATACATGTACATGAAACCATGAGAGAAAGGGATGTTGTGCAATTTGAAGAGTGATAACATTCAACATGTCAGGCCTCGAAATTAACTTTTTTCACTATTGTCCCAGAATTGTCCCGAACATAGATTTCAATTGTCCCGAACTGAAGATGGACTGTCCCAGCCTGCTTTTCAGGAAATAAGTTGATGACAAAAATAAGAAAACAACAACTGAATTTGTACAACTTGAAGTCCACTTTATTAGTAAATGTAGGGAAATACATGATAATATCATGGGCATGGCACCGTCCCTGATATTTGGAATCCCTGATTGGTCAAATTTAAATGTTTGTCAGAGTATTATATATTCATAGGCTGCCAGCAGTCTGCAGCAGGATGGATGGATCGCGTTCCCAAATGACGTGGATGGTCTTAGAATTTTCCAATTGCCCCAAAATTGTCCCGAAACGTAATTTGAATTGTCCCAAGCTGAAAATTTAGTGTCATTTGACACTGGGACAATGTTAATTTCGAGCCCTGCATGTACATCTATGGATGTCACATACATACCAGATGAAGTTAAAGTATAGGGTTATTAATTACAAAATGTACATGGAAATGAAAGTTATAAATAGGATCAAAGGGGCAAACTTTTCATCCATCCTTTTCCATACTTCCCTGGGAAAATTTTGAAATCTTGAACCTCTGAAACATTATTTCCTGCATTTGGAGAGGCAAATTTTTCTGATAGACTAAGGTTAGTTAATTGATCTCTTTTCATACATTTGTATCTTCACATGCTGATTTTGTGTCAAAGATTGGGTGAAATTTTTGTCCGTTATACAACACAATTCTGTCAAATGATGGAAAGAACCACTGGCTAGAACTACTGTATTTTTTTTAAGTTCTTTCTTTTTATTCATTTCAAGATAGAAAAACAAAATCATGGCACAACAAAATTCATGACACACATGGATGACAACAAAACTGATACAAAAAACCAGTACACAACAAGGACAACAGAAATAATGAGAAATTAATGAGAACCCCATAAAACAATGGCTAAAGGAAAATCGGTATAACATGTAGTTTCCCCCATTTCCCAATGTGTTTATGTATTTTATCCAACCTTGTAGCAATAATACACTAATTTTTGGACAAAAGAAATAACTACTGTATCCTACCCTGAGAGCAGACATGGAGCTGATTCCGTCCAGGTCCTGCAGCCCACACCTGGCCATCCACAGCACCTGCAGGTAGCGCAGGGACGTGCCCAGGTCACGCACAGACGCTATCACACTGTTGTTTAGCCGCAGCTGCTGCAGCTTGGGCAGCAGGGAACCTGGAAAAAAACAGATAGAACATTAACCATGTATACAGTCAAAATTGACACTGACTGCAGTACAAATTACTGCAGCTAGGTGTCACTGCTGCAGTGTGAAGAATGTTGTGCCCATACAACATCTGAAAACATCTTATGTGGCAGGAATGAGAACAGACAGAACTGTGAAAACAGTCAAACTTGACACTGACTGCAATACTTATGACTGCAGCTAGGTGTCACTGCTGCAGTTTGAAGAATGTTGTGCCCATAGGCCATACAATAACTGAAAACATATATCTAATGTGGGCAAATACCTAGAGAGAACAGACAGAACCGTGAATACTGTCAAACTTGCCGAAGTGGACTTGACAATCGCTTGATACTGACTGCACTACCTATTACTGCAGCTAGGTGTCACTGCTGCAGTGTGTAAAATGTGGTGCCCATGAAAGAACAGAAAAATGTATCTAATGTGGCACAAATATCCAGCAACTGTCTTAAAAATTCATACAAAAAGAAGGGCATGCTCCCAAGGGAAATTGATGAAATCTTGACCATCTGAAATGCTATTTCCTGCACTTTGAGGAACAAATTTTACTGATAGACTAGGGTTAAAGTTTAATGCCATCTTTTTTCATATCTTTACACATTAACTTTTGTCTGTCAAACTTAAAGAAGAGTGGGCAAAATTCTTGTCAGTCATGTTGAGCTACAAAATTCTATCAAATGAAGGAAAGATGGATGCTGGCTAGAACACTGTTCAAATACAGCAAAGTTGAGTCACTAGTACTTCTGAATAAATGAATTACTGTCGTTACCACAAAAATATCAAACTCGAAATCCTGAAACTCAAACCCTAATCTCACACAATTACACTGTAGTATTGTAGTACCAGTTAGGATATTTATAAAGGAGTACATTGTACAAAAACTCACCAAAGTTCCCCAGGCTGTTTTCCCTGGTATCAACAGCCATCTCCAAAGTTTGGACTTCATCCAAGTCTTCCACTCCAGTTAACGCTTTCTGTGATTAACATGAAAACAACAAGAAGATCTGACACCTTATTCCTTACAACTAAAATAGGAAGTAAGTACCATCTGCATATTAGGGCTCAAAATTCAGAATTTTTGGGGAATAGGTGCACTGGTGCACCCAACCTAAAAATTGGGTTCACCATAATAAAATAAGAAGAATATCAGCGAAAACTAATTAATATGTTTAATTTCTAAACAAAACTATGACAACAATGATTTTATTATTTTTCTGACATCTATAGTTATACTACAGTACATATACATTTAACATCTTTACGTAAATCTACGAAAATATTTGGGTGTACTGGTGCACCCACAGAAAAAGATTGGGTGCACAGCTCCATATTTGGGTGCACTAAGGTGCACATATTGCACCCAGTATTTCAAACCATGGCATATGCAGGTTAGTGCAGGTAAAATTGGAGATGTGCAATTATTTGTGATGTTTTTACACCACTATTTAAGCTGTATGTGGATTTTTATTTGCTGCATTAACTGTTACCACCTATTAAGTATTACAGAAATAATGTCAGTGGTTTCTGAACAGTTTTTAGTATGATCCATACTTCCTAAATTCTGTGTGGTGCTGGTAAAATTTGTCTGGTGCAGGTAATTTTTAATGATGCTTGCACCAGTGCAGGTAACTATGCAGAAAAATACTTCAAGCCCTGCAGTATTTGTCCACATATCAGCTGACTATTTTTACTTTCTCCTGTTGCAGCACATTTTCTCTCTTGACTGGTTCAGACTCGATTTGAATAACAAAAGTTGTTTACTGTCAACAAGCAGATTATTGACTATAATACCTCCTTGACCTGTTTTTTTCCAGACGATTAATAACAATAAACAAAATGACCCAGGAACACTATAATAATGTTTACCTCAGTATTATAAATCTCTCTAATATTCTCCCTCTATTATATAATATTTAACAATAACAAAATTGCGTTTCATTATTTCTACTTGTCAATCACTTGTAACAGGTGGTTTTTGAATTGACCAATCAGCACTGGTGTTACATACCAATCTGCCAGGGGAAAGGTACTCGTCCACCAGTTCCTCAGAGTCCTCGATCATGATTGGTTCTGGGTTGATGACGTCCTCTGCGTACTCCGTGATACAAACGTTCCCCTTCGGAGGCGATGCCATGTCCCTTACAGTAATGTCCCTTGGGAATCTGTGTAAGATGGTGCAAGGAAGGAAATTAAACTTCTTCTACACAAAACGAGTATTTCTACTGTATAATTCTCTTTAGCAGTAGTCTGCCTGTGGAGGCAACCAATGTAATTTTAGCATGGCAAAACAAAAATACTCCAGTTTAGGAAAAAGCACCTGTAGTGACATTTACTGCCATTTCTTGGCACATTTTTGTTATTTCTTGTTTTATTATGCTTGGATGGTCCTGTCAATAACAAATACTAGGCTGTTACTGTGAATAACAGATCCTTGCTAGGGCATGAAATAACAGAAATATCTTACTATTGACAGGATGGTCCTGTCAATATTGACAGGATGGTCCTGTCAATAATGGGAAAATTTGCACTATTGACAGGATGGTCCTGTCATTGTCAATAACAGAAACTTTTAGGACTGTTGACAGGACCATCCTGCTGTCAATAACAAACGTTTGGGACTGTCAAGAACAGAAACTTTTGTATTATTGGCAGGATCATCCTGTCAATAACAGAAATGTTGGATCAATCAATGTAAAATATTCTGTATATTGATAGGACAATCCTGTCAATAGTATATATACAAAACATTATGTTATTTCATACAATAGCCATTTTCCATGGATCAATCAATCAATCAACCAATTAACCAATCGCTGACCTGTGGAATGAAGCAGTGCCTGTCTCCTGTGCACAGGCCATGTAGGCACTCTGATTGGTCCCTCCTGCACACAGGTCTGTTTACATCAACTCAACAACTACCTGTTACTGGAAAAAAACAAACAAACAATTGAAACACATGATGTCAGTTTGAGTTTTTAGCTGAAGGATGTTCTCCAATTTGGTGGATACTGAATCATTGTTTTTTAAATGAATAATGAACAATATTTACAGCAAGGTATATCAACTTTTTGCACTGGTCTTAATTGTCTGTTGTCTAAATTTTCTATTTATCTATTTATTTGACAGAATTTTGCTGCTCGAGACAGACAGAAATTTGGCCAATCAATCAATCAAAAAAATTGAGATGAAAGAAAGAACTTTCAGGTTGGCGAGAACAAGTTCCTTGGAAATCTCTGTAACCTTGTCCTTAGCCCACCTTTCAGGTCTCAACATAGTAGTTCTTACATAATGTCATAAATGTGTGGGTGCACAGATATTGCTTCTATTCTGGGACTGTTTTTTTAAATGGCCCTTGCCAGGGCATGAAATACCATATAAACATTAGTAGCCGTGGAGACTCTTGACTTGGGCTTACATTTCATTACCCTCAGCAAGAGTCGTGGAAAGATCCATTGGCGGAACCAATTGGGTCACGATTACCGACGCACGACCGAAAGTGCTCCGATCATAACCAGAAAGGCTACCGAACATAAAACACTGATATAAGGTTAGAAACTGTTGCACTGTGGAATATTTAGGCTGATTTGAACATCGGCAACCTGGCCGTGGTTTTATACTGTAGGGAAGCTCGGGACAGCAAAAAACCTGGGCGAAAATGGAGCATCGGGCAGCCAACGGGAAATGTGCAGTTCTGCCAATGGATCTTTCCACAACTCTTGCTGAGGGTAATGAAATGTAAACCCGAAGCAAGAGTCTCCACGGCTACATATACATGTACTAGTACAATAACATACATGTTATCGTATACATACAAGTACATGTAACTGGTCAGTACACGTAAAATCAGAGCTGTGCAAGTATTTCTGCACCTGTACTGGTCCTTACAGTGAGCTCTGAACAGTTTTAGTGTGATCCACACTTACTAAATTCTAAGTGCTACAGGTATAATTTGTCTGGTGCACATAATTTTCAAAGAACGTGGCTATATACACTCCCGGAGTGTATATAAAATCTATTTGTCTTTTATATACACTCCCGGAGTGTATATAAAATCTATTTGTTTTTTATATACACTCCGGGAGTGTATATAAAATCTATTTGTCTTTTATATACACTCCGGGAGTGTATATAAAATCTATTTGTCTTTTATATACACTCCGGGAGTGTATATAAAATCTATTTGTCTTTTATATACACTCCCGGTGTGTATATAAGATCTATTTGTCTTTTATATACACTCCCGGAAAGTTGATAGGGCATTCGAATGATCTGTCGCCGGTGCGAAGACCGCGCGATCGGCTGTGTTATCCGGAGTCACCAAAGGGACCGGGGCGAACCCCGGGTTGGTCTTGTTATCTTGTTGGTCTGATGAATGCACGCCAGACCGTGAGGTCGGCGCTTCTTCCGCATGTATTAGCTCTAGAATTACCACAGTTATCCATGTAGGATGTGACGATCAAAGGAACCATAACTGATTTAATGAGCCATTCGCAGTTTCACTGAGACAGTTTAAACTTGCACGTGCATGGCTTAAACTTTGAGACAAGCCTATGACTACTGGCAGGATCAACCAGGTAGCGAGGACGCCAGGGGGGCAAGCGGGGCGGGGCGGGGCGGTCCGCTCGACCGAACTTCGGTGGAGATTTCCGTGTTGTTTTCTGATTTTCATCATCCAATAAGATAAACTTGAAGACCGAGGTTTAAACTTGGTGCCCCTGAATCCTCAAACACTCACAAAAACCCAGGTTTTGGGCCTACCAAGGAGGCTAGTATTTCGGAGTGTATATAAAATCTATTTGTCTTTTATATACACTCCGGGAGTGTAAATAGCCACGCCGATTTTCAAATTATCTCACAAACACAAGACCTGCAGATATGCAGAAAAAGGATTTCGAACCCAGTGTGCAAAATTCCCACATTCTACATACGGCTGGATTTTAACAGGACTTCTTACAATTTACGTCTTGGAGAATACAGCTCCTTTTTCCTGAGGACTCTTAACCCTTGTCCTGCTGGCATTCCTGGCACAATATTTTTCAATAATTTCATGTCTTAATTAGATCATAAGAAACCCAAATTTTTTTGGCCTGCGGTGGCACAGTTACTTCCGCATTCGTTGCGTTTCGCTGCGGTGTGATGCGTTGCACAAGAAATACCCCCAAATCGTATCTATACAGGGTGTTATATAGATGGTACTGCATGTGCCGCGCGACATATGTTGCGTACAGCAGGACAAGGGTTAAGAAGTCTCAAGTACCAGGTGCTTTTCACACCTGTGAAAACACCTGTTACTAAACATTATACTTCAAGACTTCACATCCAAGAAGATATATGCTGCTAATGCAGTGGTTAATATCAAGGGTGTTCAAAAAGGTATGTACACGACGTAAACGTCGATAGTTTGGCCAAATCCGTTGATAAATAGTGAAGTTGAATTTATAGTTGCTGCAACAAAAAATGCAGCTTCCTACACATCTGCAAATTCTCGCTGTGGGGCGTGCCTCAGTATATCTGAAAAATTTTCTGCAATTCTACGTTCGAAATCAAATCAAAATCGAACCACGGAGATTCAAAACACGGAGTATTTTCCTTGAGAACAATCACGTACTCTGTGTAAACATACCTTTGAAAATTGTTGTTGTTGAAAGTCAAGTCTCGACTAATGACATTTGATGTTTTGGCCGTTGTCGAGCAACCCACACAAACTTTTCACTCGCGAAAGAAAGCGCCTCTTTCTCCCAGCAAAAACGGACGAATTACCTCTTTCAGCTCCCTGCAGCGCTGAGTTTCAAATCCAGAAGACCTGCCTGATCTGAGAACACTGTCTATGCGCTTGAGAAGTGAGCGAAAATGCAGCAACTTTGAGGTGAAAACTTGTCTTGCGAGCCTAGGTAACGACCGACGCCAGGGCCGCCATTTTTGTTTCCACCCGGGAACGGAAGATTCGCTACGTTTTGCGGCAGTTTGTGTCGTAAACGCCACCTTTGCAGTCGCAAAATACGGGCTGTCTTAAGATAACTGCCAGTTTGAATATTTTTTCACCTTCCCTAAACTATGCAATAACAACAAATTTTGTCAAACTAAGAATATACAAAGGTATTGTATATGTATTATACATAATATTAATCAGTAATATCTTAATATTTACTGAAAATTTGTATATTCTTGATGTATATTTAGCAGGCAAAAAATAGAAATCTCTGTGGGCGACTCAAACCCTAATTTGGCTCGAGCGAGGGTCTTGCCAGCATCCCGGTAAGAAAAAGGACCGCCCAGACGCGCTCAGGGTGTTGTGAAGATTTCTGCACACTTCTTCCAGAAAATCCAGGTATGTCTGCTCTTCTTCCATTGCAAAACATCACCCGCAGACCTTCTGCGAGCGGCCGAGCTCGTCCCGAAGCTCCTGCTTGCAGGGGAAGCTGTTTTGAGCTCGCCCGAAGTTGCCTTTGTGAGCGTGATCACGTCTTGTACAAAACGATTTCTCTTACTAGTACCGTGTGGACTGAAGACATGTCGCGTGTACACGTAAACCATAGCTTTGTTTCCCCTGCCACCACGACTTTCTTCTCAAAACTTGAAACATCGTGTAACCGCCTCCATACGTTAAAACATCTCGTACAAGTATAACAACATGAAGGCTAGTTTGAATATGTGTGATAGAAAGCGTGTTGCCAGGGGCATAACACAACGTACCACACCCATATTTTGTGACAAATATTTAGATACATTTTCCACGGCCTAAATGCCCGTCTTTGTTTGTTCATGGGACCTCAAGTGTCTATTTTTACACAGTGACTGTGGTGCTAAGCCTAGGAAATGACTTGTTAATGTCCCAAACAAACTATTGTGAGCCAAAACTACTAGAGGCCAGCCCAGGTCAGCTAAAGTGGAACTGGGCTAAAGAAGCCAAAGAACAAAAGATAGCAGATAGCTACGGGCATCCAGATTAGCTTTAATTAAACGTTGCTTGTAGAAATTAAGCCTTAAGGAGTTATCAATCCCACTACGCTGAAGTTTATTATTGTTTGCTTACTAATTTTCTAGACACAATTTGTTTACAATGTGTGTTAGGAAGTGTCAATGAAATATTCAAGTCCCTTGTTGACGTGTTTATTGTTTGTTTATTGAGAAATCAAAACCCTTGGAAGCCTCTGTATATAGATTTTTCATTGCAGTTAACACTGCCAGTCTGTGACACAAACATGCTATCCTTACTTTGGGACCTATGGGGGACCAGATATTTTTTTTACGCCTTTTCTGCCAGAGAATGACAAATAAGCATGTAATTTGTGTGAAATTATTTAGGTACAGTACCAGTACTTAGGGATTAGGTACTGTCATTGCACATTAGATTTTGGACTTGTACCTAAGAAATTTTTCGATTACAGAACCTGTGCACAGTTCTACTGAGGTAGCACTAGTTCGTGAAGTATTGTTGTCTAGAAAACAGCTGATGGGTTTTTGAGAGCAGCACAACAATACAGGCAACTGTTTTTTGTTGTGTTGGGGACCATGTGTACACAATATGCATTGGTCAATTAAACATATTTTCCAAACAAAATGTTCTAAAAAGTTCTATGTTACAAAACAAGCAACCGTTTTCTGTCAGTGACATCACATTTTTGGTTCCTGTATCCTTTGGGGTAGGGTGGATTCAAGTTACTACATGAAAAAATGACCAGAAATTTGACTTTGAAAATCCAGTTTTACTGCCCTGACATTGCTTTGGGTACCAATGCGATTTCAGGGCAGCAAAACTGGAAATATTCTGAATGTGAATAGGGCAGTCTTTGTGATATTGACACATACTAGTACTGCTTCACATAACTGTCATAAGCACATTTAAATCAGCATTTCATACTTTGGGCATTTAAAACTGCAGAAACTAGCCCCAAGAGGAGTCCTTTATTTTCTGGGTGGTGCCCTAAAATCAGCCCAGGGCCCTTCCAGTAACCATTTTCTGTCAGAATTTTGGGTATTTTTGGTCCATGAGGGTCAATATACATTGGGATAGTGTGGTTTCAACTCAGTATATAGATAAATGGCTAGAATATTGGCTTTAAAAAAAATTAGATTTGCAAGCCCTAAAAACTGCACTTGATGCCTCACCACAGGTCCTAACTGACCTTGATTCTACACTTGCGTACAGATGTACAGAAGGAACCAGGAAGTTTGAAGTAATATGTGGCCTCCGATAATCACCAGACCTGTGGGTAGGTTAACCCAGGAAACAGCTGTGAACTAGAAAGAGGCCAACTTTATACACAGTTAGAAACAAAACTTCAGAAAGATCAGTGAAACGTGTATGTGCTTCCATATGGACACAGCATGTACTAAGACTTAGGAAAAAAAAAATAATTGTACTGCGTTCCCGTTTCAGTACTAAGAAAATAGGGTTGGTAGGTTTTTCTTTCATTTTTTTAATCAGACTTTGGGGGTCAATTCAATACAATTTCATACAATTCAACAAAGTAAAACTTGCATGAGAACATTTATTCATGTACATGTATTTTCAATATAAACGTTGGGACCCAATTGTACAACGTTTCATCAAAAAGGTCGATCAGCTCATTCAGCTCGGAAAATTGTCCCTTGCAGGGGTCCACACACAAAAAAGCTAGGGTCAGTCAGGGAACAGGAAACACAACATTTTTTTTCCAATCCTAGGCCTAAGGACTAGTATAGGACTATTGACAGGATGATCCTGTCAACAGTTTGTACTATTATGATCCTGTCAATAGTGCATTTTTTCTATTAGTATTATTGACAATTAAGCAGAATAGTGACAATTTTCCACTATTTCATCCTCTTGATATTCTCATAATCATATTCGTTTTTTAATCTTCTTTTTTTTTTACTTTGTGTGGTAAAAGGTAACTGGCAATGGCAAATGGATTCTGTCTGGCCAATTTTGATACTGTCTTTGTAGCCATCAAAACATCTGCTTGGAGATTATTAGGGCATTGCCTCCATCTAATTCTAAATTTCTGGGGAGAGCCTTGCATTCTTCAATTTTTGTGTTATTGTTCATTAATTAGTATAGATTATATATCATAGCATTCAGCTCAAAGGTTCATCATGGCATCTTCAGGATTTAATCAGGTCCAGTTGTGTGTCATTCATGAGGCCTCTTCTATCTCTCTAGAATGCATAGCTTATTAATCAGAACCTTGTGTTGTTGTTACTGTGCATCACTTTATGTTCACAGTAGCAAAAGTTCAAAGTCTTAGAAAAATGGTGTTTGCGGACTGGTTTTGCGGAACAGTTCGTTTGCGGTGGCAGCATTAGTTGCAGCAAAAAGAAAGTCAGCAAATTATTTGTTCACGGTAATGATAATAGTGAATATAAAAGTACAGAGAAAAAATTGTGATTTACAGTACTCACTACTGGGTCAGGGACATGTGTGCCAACTGTGGTTTAGTGGTTAGCATTACCTCTAAGTCCCATTTGGATGTCAAGGTCATCGGGGGTGTCACTCATGGTCAACCAGCAGTGGCTCAAACCGGTTCAAACCTGATATACGCTGGTATTAGTCTTGTACAGCAAGTAGATCTGTAGAAATAAGCTGTTTATCCTGGTATAACCTAGAGCATTTTATGTTAAGATGATTTCAATCTCAGAGGCAGCATAGCTTTCTGTCCCCACTTCCCAGCTTGAAATTTTTGTCCTGGTCCCGCTTATTTTTGAAGCACCGGGATGAGCAAAATTTCAGAAGTTACATTTACAACCCCCTGAAAATTCTATTTCATGCATTTCCACAAAACGTTGTCAAAATTTTGCCTACTGCAGACAACGTCTTCTGACACATCTTTTCTTTTTGGGAAAAGGTGCACTGGTGCACCCAACCTAAAAATTGAGTGCACAAAAAATTTCTTGGGTGCACCATATAAAATAAATTAAGGAGAATGTCAGCAAAAACTAATTGTGTTTCATTTCTAAAGAAAAGTACAACAAGAATGTTATACTTATTATTTTTCTGAAAATGCTGTATACTATTACTACTATGCATTTAATATCTTGACATATGTATCAAAACCAAGTAAAATATTTGTGTTCACATCTCAAATTTT